CCTTAAGCGCACTTTTTTGGTGGAAACAGGCTGGGAGTCAATTGCATTTGCAGTCATAACCCATCCAAAGCTGCTGGCACAACATCAAGTGGTGGGACAGGATGAGAAACCCCTTTGCTTGGCTTAAGTGCAGCCAGGAGAGCTGGTCTGCCTCGTGGGGTGAGGGTGCATGTGAAAGGCTCCTTTGGCAGCTGGGTACAACTTGTCCCTTTTCCTTCCATCCTTGAGCTGTCCCACGCTACCAGCCACGTAGCCAAGGCTGAGCACCCCCACACGAGCACTGCCACGTGGCTCCATGCCACGTCCCTTGCCCGGTGTGAGTGCACCATCTGGCACTTTGCTGAAGGACATCCTGGCCCTTCAGCCACGTCCTCTGGTGGAAAACACCTTCTGGGCCGCAGGGTGCAGGTGGAGAGGGGCAATGGGAGATGCAGGGAGGCGAGTGGGTGCTGTTTGGTTGCATGCAGCTCCTTGCAGGCTCTCTGGCCTGCTGCTTCCAGCCTACAGGAATTGAAAGGAGACTGCGGCATAGAAAGGAGGAGGAAAAAAAATTAAAGGAATCATGAGATCAGCAGGCTTGAAACCCTGGCAAAAGTGCAGTGGCTGCCTCCGGGTGATGTGCTGTGGGAAAAAGAGAATGCTGCCCTTTCCCTCCTTCCTGAATTGCTCCCTGCATGGAGAGGCATGCGCAGGAGCTCTTGTCCCAGGAGGAATGTGCCTGGGGTGTGCAGGGAGACAAGATGGGGTTGTAAGATCGGTGTGGATGAGGCTGTAGGAGAGTCTTCTGTCTCCCATGTGGATGGTAGGGGTTAGGAAAGAGCAGTGGATCTCCACTTGGCTTAACTGATGCTGGGAAAGTCTTTGCCATCTCCCCTACATCTTCATACTGCTGGGGCTTGGGCAAAGTCCTTCCTCCCCATCCTTGAGAATCACTAGGGAAAGGTGGACAAGCAGATTTTGTGTCTGAGTTAGTGGATGTGGTTAGTGGTGTTTCCCTGCCTCCTTTTAAGGAGCAAAGGAAAAAAAAAAACCACTCCATTTTTCCATCGTCAAGCAAAGAAGTCCTTTGTGCTGCCTCTTAAAGGGACCTTGAGAAACTGCTGAGAAATCGTCATCAGTTACATCACCTCCAAAACGGCTGCTGCAGGCACCTGACAGCTTTGTCCCACTGTTACTCTGGGGAATCATTATGCTCCGAATTCCTCGCCCTTGGAGAAAGCCTACATGGCTCTCTGGGAGGGAGGAGCCGCTGCGCAGTTTGTGATGCTGTGAGTGGCAGAACAGGATCGGGAAGAAGGGCTGAGGTTCCCAGCAGATGGGTCAGAGCAGGGGACACATCCTGCAGTTTCCTAACCTCATCCCGTTGGCGAGGCTGGGTTCATCCACCCCGTGCAGGACCCGAGCATCTTTCTGGGAAGGAGCTGAAGGCGCTGCAGTGGCATCGCCTCGGGCCGGAGCGCTGCCGTTGCCTGGCAGCTGCGGGTTTCCAGGGAAACCAGAGGTGCTAACTTGTTAATGAGCCCCGCGTCCCTGATTGCTGCTGCAAAATAATAATAATAATTAGTAATGGTCCTGTGATTTAGGAATCCCTCAAACAGCATGAGCCAGCCGAGGGGAGTTTGCTAAGTGCTGAAGCACTTGAAAGAAATGAGGGGATGAACAGGAAAAAGGGTGTGGGGCTTGGAAAAACTGCTGTGATTTGTGTCTTAGGAACTGTCTGGAGAGCTGGGGTCCCGTGGGGTCCTGCCAGCGTCCTAGCAGTGAGCCTGGGGCTGGTTGCAGGGCTGACCTGGATGGATGGAGGAGCCCTGGCCAGGCAGCATCTCAGTGCAGGGCTCACAAGGCACAGATATTTCCCCCAGCCCCTAGGCTGCAAGGGGGAAAGCCAAATCACTTAGATCAGTGCCACTGAGTCCCTGGTGGAGATGGCAGTTCTTCAGGAGTGGCTGCTTTCAGGTTACTGGGGACAAATAAACAAATATTTGCCTGTGGTGCTCTTCTCCCTTGGTAAACCCGAGGTGGAGATGCCACCAGAAGAGTGTGCTCCTGGGATGAGCATCACATGCTGTAGCTGCAGTCTCACAGGCATGATGGAAATGTGTTCCTGCAGCAAGGCTGGCTTGCCTGTGGCAGTGGGGGGAGCATCTCCTCCACGGGGCTGCTCTCCAGGACACAACACTGGCTCGGTGCAAGGAGTGGACATGAGGTTAGTGAAGTTTTAGTGAGGTTTTAGTGAGGTTTGGGGTTGTTGTGGAGACCTGCTGCCCTTCCAGCTGATGTCTCCAGTAAAAGAGAAACCAGATCTGCGCCCTTCTCATATCACATCTCTTGGCTCGGGTCCTTGTGCAAGGTGAGCAGTTGAGGGAGGTGGCATCACTCCACATGTGTGATCTGTGTTGGGCCAGTACAGGGATGAGTTCCTGTGGTTTCTCATGCCAAACAGACAGACTAAGGCTGGGGTGTATATTCTGGGTTTTATTGCTCTCTTGCCTGCCCTGCCCTGCCCAGAAGAAGGTCACAGCCAAACTGAATACTTGCCCTTAGCCTGGCGTGCTGTGAGCATCTCTGCCATGCTTGTGACTCGTGTGGCCAGCTCCCCTCACCTGCACAAGCATTTGTGGAGGTGACACCAGGGACAGAGTCCTGTTTAGTTGGCCCAGCCCAGTGCTAATCTCTGCCCATCTTTCTGTCCCTCGGCTGCAGTGTGGCCTCTCCTGCTGGCTGTCCCCATTCAGCTAAGCCATGTGCCCATCTCCTCATTACAGGCACTCCAGGGAGAGGTGGGATTAAAGGATTATGATAATGTTCTTCAGGAACACTCAAGAAGATTAAGATGGCTTTAATAAACTGATAAGAGAGGAACACAGCTATGTTTCTGAAACCCTAATTTAGGTTCCAGGTTAACCTTTTCCCCTGGTCTCCTCTCACCATGGTAAGAAGATCACTTACTTTAGCACTGCTCCATGGCTAAGCCTCTTCCCTCAATTTTCCTTCTGACCCATCTGAGCAGAAGCAAAAAGACATCCTCCCTCCTTCTCTGGTCTTCCCAGGTATGGGGACATTACAGCTTGTTCTTCTCAGAGACCATCTCATACACAGCCTGCAAGGTACTGTGAAGGTGCTATCAGAGAAGTTGCTTGTCTGCCTTTGCCCTGGCTGAACCTATGCAGGGAAGTCCCCGTGTCTTGGTTCTGATGCCAAGGTTGCAGCTCCCCGGTGGCCAACTGCATCCCCTGTAAAGGAAAGAGGGGCAGAATGGACTAACCTTGCCCTGCCTTCCCTCACATCTTTGGGGTGGAGCTGGGAGTGGAACCCGTTTGATGTGTCACATGAGTCTGTAGAGGTTCATCTGGTTGTTCTGCAGGAATGGGGGTTATTAGCTGACTTGGGAAACCTCATCTGTATTCTCCAATCTCTTTCACCCAAGCTTTCAGTCATCTGCTGGACTTTGTGAAGGCCTCTTGTGCCTTGGTTTCTCTTAGAGTGATAAGGTCATCAGGATCTGTTATCTTTCCCAGACCCCTCTGTGTCTGACACCCAGAAAGTTCACCCCTTGCTCACTATCTGGAGATTGATACCATGCTATATCCGGAGGAGCTCTGCAGTGTTGGATCACTCCTTCCTCCCACTTCACTCATCCCTCTGCCGAAGTATTATTCTGGATTTTTTGTCTGTCAGCTCTTTCTACTCCCTTTTTCTTTCTTCGATGGAATTGGAAGAGACAAAAAACATTCACAGCCTGGTGTCCTGATGGGTAAGGGAGGCAGAAAGTGATTTGGGGAGTGGGGTGTGAAAGGAAGACTAAGGGGAAAAGCTGGCTAATTTGCATCCTTTCTGAGTGCCCTGGCTCTATAGCCAAGGGACAGCAGGGGGGCTTCTGGCAAGGCGGTAGCAGCGTAATGAGGTGTGTCATATCCCAGCAGGAGCCAGCCCCGCTCCCCCTCAGACCCCCTAATTAGAACTGTTTCAATTTTGAAGCCCCCCCCCGAGGAGAGCCGGGGGAAGCGGGGTCCCTGCAGCGGGGGGACCGCCCGCCGCCCCCGAGGGGGCTGCTCCAATTGGAATTGGGGCGAGGAGCCGCCGGGCACAGCCGTGCCAGAGTGCCAGGGGCTGCCAAAGTGCTCCGTGCCAGGAGGGGCTGTCACTATCGCAGCTTCTAGGGCATTTTTTTTCCCTCCTGTAATTTGTATTAACACATTGGCAGAGGCAGCAGGGGTGTGATACAAGGGAAGGAAAGTACTGCACATCCTAATGTGGCCTCCCGTTGGGAGCTTTTATCCTGAGGCTGAAGCCTGAGACATCTACTCCTGCTCTGGGAGGCAGATCAGGTAGCCCAGGGAAGTTTGGGCTGTTGGTGCTGGAACCCCCATCCTCACATTCTGTGGCTTTCCATTCTTTTCCTACAAGCTGGCAGTGTCCTCCAGGTTTGGTGGCTGGTAACTGAGGTCCCTGTCATGTCACCCAGTAGCGTGTCTGACTCAAGGATGTTTTTTGTTTCTTGAGCTACCATTGCAGTAGGTGCCTGCAGGTGTAAGAGCTTAAGGGAACTGCTGGCTTACTCGGATCAGTGTGACTTGTAAGCCTCCTCTGGTCCATGGGCCAAATCCTGATCCTGCAGAGGTCAATGAAAATCTTTACACTGGCCTTTTCAGGCACGTTATTCATAGTCCTCCTAATTCAGATGCATTAAAGCTTCCATGAAACAGCTTGTGGGTTCTCTCTAAAACACCGTCTGGCAGCAACAAGAGGAGCCTGGTAGTAGCCCAGGCTTATTTTCTGAATGACTGCAGTGGCATTAAAACCTAATGCCATTAAAACATACTTGCAGTGACGTGTTCCATTAAAACTTAAGAGGACACCCTGAGCTGAATGCTCCCTAGCCTGCCTACTGCTCTTGCAGATCTCATGGGCTGGACATGGAGGAATCTTGTTCTTCACCTCAGAGAGAACCAGGCTCGAACCCCCTCAGCTCCTGAGATGGAAACACAGGGTATCTGTATACCAAGCACTCCTGTATATGAAGCCCCTTTCTAATGGTGTACAAGTTAGGTGCTGAAAAGCAGAAGGCTCTCGGGGGCCATCTCAGTCCAAGTACAACTTCCCAGCACCTCTGCCTTGATGCCTGGCCTGTTTCTTGAAGACAGGAGTAAAGGTCAGCTTGATTTCTTGTCTTCTCTTGACTTGTCAGGAGGCAAGCTGGGAAAGATACCCACGAGCAGGCTCTAATATACAGGCAGGTGAAATTCAGTGTGAAGTGATGAACATGAGTGTGCAAACCTGATTTGCTGGTGTGTATGATGGGCCCTGAACTAGATTTCACCATGCAGCAGCAGAACCTTAGAGCTGAGCTAAGTTGCTTCTGTGAAACCATTAGCTCTGGGCTTGGCAGAGGTCAGAAAAAGCAAATTGAGTGTGAGGAGCTGTTGGGTTGGGAACAGGGAAAGGAGGTCACATCTTGCCCTGTGCAAGTCCCTGATGTGCCTGGCTCTCAAACATGGCACATCAGGGCTGACCAGTGTGGCAAAAGGTGTCTGTCTGTGTAAGTGGCAGCTCTGTAGTTGCTTTGACCTGAAAAGCTCCTTAATTTAAGTCTAAATGTGGTAAGAACTGTGGAGAAGATTGGGGAACAGCATGTGGTCTTCTCTGGTGCAAGTAGTAAGGGTCACCCAGAGGAGCCATCAATTAGCAGATTTGGAGCAAACCAGGGGAAGGACTTCGTCAATGTAACTGGCAAACCATTCTATTCCCTGCCACTGGCCACTGTACCTGTTAAATTAAAAGCTGACATGGCTTCAAAAAGCAATTAGACAAATGCATGTGAGAAAATTCTGCTGAGGGCTATTAAATACAAAGAGAAAACGTCTGCCTTGGGCAGCTCTGGAGTCGCACATGCCACATCTGTGGGAGAACACACCTTGAAAGTGTGGCTTGTTGCACTCTTAGATTTTTCTGAAGACATCCAGATGTCATCCTGCCCAACTGATGGGTTGTCATCTCCTTTCTTCTCTTTCCAGGTTCAGCACAATGAGTTGGCACTCTGGGCATTAGCAGTGTGAGGAGAATAGGACAGGTGCTGCCTGCTCACCCCTCAGCCTCGCTCATTCCCCTTGAGGAGACGGGTGCTGGCGTCCCTGCCCTGCCCTTCCACCCCTCGCTCCCCGCTCGCCGTAGAGGGGACCGGCCCGTTATGGCTGGGGACAGGCTCCCACGCAAGGTGATGGACCCCAAGAAGCTGGCCAGCCTCCTGAGGAACGGAGCAGAGGGCACCCTGGTCATCGACAGCCGCTCCTTCGTGGAGTACAACTCCTGGCACGTCCTCAGCTCCGTCAACATCTGCTGCTCCAAGCTCGTCAAGAGGAGGCTCCAGCAGGACAAGGTCTCCATCACGGAGCTCATCCAGCCTGCCTCCAAGATGAAGGTAAGGGATCTGACCCTCACCTTTCCTGGTGGGTGCTCACACCCTCTTGTCTTGTGGGATGCAGACTGGTCTAAAGGATGGGAGGAACACATGGATCCTTCCCCTCCATTCCTTGACCCCGGTATCTGCCAGCATCTCTTTGACACCCTTTGGACAGCTAAAGTGTGAGCTCGTTTGGCCTCAGGGCTGTCCTCGGGGATTTGTTCATTGCCCCCATCCCACTGATGTGGCTCCCTGCTTCAGGAGCCCTCCCCAAGCAAGTCTAACAGGTATATCAGCCCTAGGACTTGTCTTACCACAGCAAACAACCCCCCAAAGCCTTCCTGGAGCTGTAAGCTTAATCCCCTGCTAAAAACTCTTCCCCTCCCCTCTGTCATCTCTAACTCCATTCAGGGACATGTAATCCTCCTCCCCTGTGACGCCAGAAGCTCTTATCCGGTGTCATGGCATATTATCTCTCCCAGGCTCCTCTCTATCGCTCCTGGTTAAATAATAGAGGTGGCTCTGAGCCACGGAACTGGGCTGGAGCCCCGGCCGGAGCAGTGCCCAGTGTCCCTGCAGAACCGTGGGCTGGGTCGTGCCCTCTGCTGAGGCACTGCCCGAGGGCTGTGCCGGTGGGTACCGAGATGATGGATGACGGAAACGTGCCCGAGGGCTGTGCCGGTGGGTACCGAGTTGCTGCCCGAGGGCTGTGCCCGTGGATCCCGCAGTGGCCGCGGGACGAGCCCGAGGATGGCTCACCATCCGAAGGGTGGCTTGCCATCACAGCCCACCCTCCTTGCCAGTTCGCTCCCACCGTTCCCCCGCTCCCGCCTTGTAATTTTATGGCAAAGCGAGGGTAATTCAGGCGATTAATCAAATGCTGGGCCCAGCTGGAGCCATCTGCGTCGTGTCCCCCCCTCTCGCCCCCCCGCCACCCCGAGAAGCCACCGCTGTCCGCATTGGCTGCCGGTGACATCACCCCGGGATCAAGGGGACTGGCAGCGCGGGGGGGCCGGCCTCTCGCCAATCTGCTTCGGTGATGCTCTGGGCTGGGCGATTTGGAGGGGATTGCAGAGACTGATTCCTGAACGGCTTTAGCTGCTCTTAAATCCCCTGGAGAATAAAGCAGAATAATCAGTTTTTCGCAAGCTCCGAGGAGAGCGGAGCGGCCGCCCTCCTCCCGGCGAGGGTCACCTCTGCAGTGGCCGCTGTCACGTGGAGCGGCAGCAGCAGCAGGACGGGCGATGCGCAAGGGGGAGGAAGAAGAGGAGGATGATGGGGAAGGGGGAAGCATGGAAGAGTTAACATCAGCTGATGCCATCCGCCTGCAAACCTGCAGCTCGCCAGCTGCAGTGGAGCAGTGGGCTCCCAAAGGAGCCGGCTGGTCCTTCCTGGCATTCCCTGCTCTGTCCCCATAGAAGGAACTTAGAAGGATCGTTTTCTCCCGGCTCCTGGATCATTATATAATGGTCCACGTACTGGCCGGGGGTGGGATTGTAACCAGGGATGCTAGGGGAAGAGGAGAGAGGCGTTGCCATCGTCTTTAATTCCTCTTCGCTTTTCTTTTGGATAAGGCTGAAATCCCTCCTGGCACATCCGTGGGCAGGAGGCTCCATGTCCCCGCTGCTGCTGCTCTGCACAGCCCCTGCCATGCCCACCGCCTGCTGGCTCTCCCAGCACACGCCGCCCAAAAATTAATTAGCTTCTGGACACCCTTGAGAGGTTAAGCCACTTGTCCTGAGAAGCTGAAGGGGAGGACTGGGAGGGGATCATTGCCGTATTCTCATCTGGCATAACGCAGGGGTAGTGGCTGTGGCTTGGGATGTCCAAGCCTTTTTGTGCATGCACTTGTGTTTGCATTTTGGGATGATGAACTCTCTTGTCGCCCTTTCTCTTCTCCCCACCTCCCATTTCAGTCACACTGTATTTTGGGACCCCCAGAAATCAATACGATCCGCTGTCTCGAGGTGCACAGATCCTCAAAAGGGGATGCTGAAAGCTGATTTAGACCTCTGTTACCCTGTGTCGCTTCCCTGCCTTCCCTGCCTCCGTGGTCAACATCTCCCAGCCCCGCTGTGCCCCTGGCTCCCCGCACCGGGGCCGGGGGGCGGGGGGCACGGCTGGCGTGGCGAGCAGATGGCAGGAAGGGTGACATCAGTAGCGCGATTGTCCGGCCCCATTATTCCTCCTGACGGGCCTCCCGCCCTCCTCCTGTTTCCTGCTCCCGGCCGGCCGGGGCTGCCGAGACAAAGGCGGATGGCAGCGACGCGGGGCTGCCCGGGCAGCCAAAGGGCAGCCCCGAGCCCCGGGCTCGTCCCACTGCTCCTCGCCTCCGGCAAAGAGAGCTGGACCTGCTCATCCCATCCCAGCGATCCTAAGGGTGGTGTTCGCCTTTTGGGGAAGGAGACGGGCTGGTGCGGGGCAAAGCATTTGGGCAAACCCCACCTGGCCGCCAGCTCCGCTCCTCCCTCCTGCGTGCTGGCAGGGGGGGTGGGAGAATTCGTCCAATTTGCTTCTCCCAGTGCTTACTCTCCTCTTTTCCATGTTGCTATGAAGGAAGAGTGCCATTAGCAATACTTCTGTGGGCTGCAGTTTGGAGTGATGCTGTAGGATAGCAGCAGCTCCTGGCTTTTTTTGGAGCAAGGAGAGGAAAGGACCATTTGGGAGGAAAGAAGAAAGGGAGACATTTAAAACCCCTTTCTTTTTTTTCAATGAATTATGCCTATGATCCTACGATCCTACGATTGTGGCAGCTGCCACAGCCGCTGCTCCCCAAGCCCTGGACATCTTCCCATGGTGCCCAATCTGGGAAAAGCTGCAGCAGCAATTCCTCCCACAGTCATTCCCTCCACACAAAAATGGTACCAACATAACTGCTTCTGGTTGGTTTTGAACCCTTCTCCCAGTGCTGACAATAATAAACTCTCACAATAATAAATTCCAGTAACAATTGGAATAATTCAGCTCCTCAGTGCAGTTTGGAGAGCAGAGGTTATGGGAAATTCCTGTTTGGGTTTTTCACTAGCATTTCTTTAGGGAAATGTTGAAAATTTTACTTCTTCAAGATCCCTCTGGAAAGACCACCTCTCAACCACTTCTCACTTCCTGAAATGCAGCAATCTCCAGAGCAACTACAGCCATGCTTTGAAGCAAGACAAGGGTCTCTTCAGGTGATGGGAATATTTATTTATTTGCATTAGGAGCTTGGCTCTGCAAGCAGCTGTTTGGCTTGAGGGAAAGCCGGGGCTTATTTTTGAGCCGTGTGCCTGGCTGCTCTTTATGTTGATGGAAGCCCTGTTATTTCAGTGGGGTGATTCACTGTGTTTTGAAACAATACGTGACTGAGTTGTCAGTAGTAATTGGGATAATAATAATAGCTCACTCTTATCTTAGCCTGGATCACCTGTAGAGCATCATTATCCCTGCTTGGCAGCTGGGGAAAGAGAGCTGGGACCCAAGGTGTGTTGAACCACGCAGTGCTGGGGACTGATGTCCATATGGGAGTTACCTCCAGCCAGAGCTGGGGACAGTGATGGGGAGCACAGGGCTTGGCACAAAGGCAGTGAATCAATGGGCTCAGCTGGGGTTTGGCTGGAGCTGTTGGCCAGGTGGTCCTGGCTCCAGGCTGGTCATACCCCTCCAGACAGGATTTTGGCAGGGACGAGGTTTGTTCTTGAGGAGTTGCTCTGGGCCACCCCCAGCACTGGAGTGGGCCAGCAGCTTTTCAAAGGCATTCATGGGTTTGCAAGCCCCACTCAACATCTACCTGGAGCCAAAAGACTTGCTGCATCTTGGCCCTGCTGTCCCTTGCTAGATGGATGTGGGGACCCTGTGTGGAGGGTGATGCTTGGGGTTACTTCAGCAGTCTTGAGGTGACAGCAGTCCCCGTGGAAGTGTTGCTTGTCAGAAGGATACCTCTGTTGTCAGCTGTGTCCCTGCCCTATGCCAACCTGGCAGAAGCAGGAATCTAGTATGGAACATCTCTTCAGCTTTACCCTCCTCCTCTGTCCCAAGTAGCTTTTAGCCTCCCTATGTTTAGGGCCAGAGATGGGGCATTTCAGGAGGGCATGAGATTGATGCGAGACCCATGTGATTGATTAAACATCTCTGCCTTATTTCCCTTGGTGATGAGGAGCCAGGATGTCAGTGCAGGCTCCTTGTATGCTCCATGAGGGCTCCTCAGGACCTTCCTGCAGGTATCCTCACCCCAGCAAGCCAAGTATTTGTTTTCTGCAGCCAGGCCATGCGAGGCCAGCACTTGTTTGGCATTTACATTGAGTGAAACCTTATAACTTTAATAAGATGTAAACCGTGTCGCACATCTCTGCCGTCGCTCAGCAACCCTGCAGTAACGGCCCAAACAAAGCCTTCCCGTGTGGAGGGAACACTAAATCCTATTGTGGGATAATACTGCTCAGCCAGAGCTGGTATCTCTCCTGCAGCCTCCTCAGCCTGGACTGTGCAGCTGGGATGAGCCCCTGCCCCACTACGGGGTAATTCCTGCCTCACTGTGCTTTTTGGGGGAAGATGTTTTTGCTGGTATGGGGCTTCAGGATGAGAACTGGGTCTTTGTGATGTGCTAGGGAGCTTTGAAGGGCTAAGCTGAGGACTGGTAGGTTCCCAATTCTGAACCGGCTTGTCAGCCACTGTGTTTCCCTCCAGCTGTGCTTGGATGACCTCCCACAAAAGTCCTGAGTCAGGACTGGCTGAGGAAAAGATGCTGGGGTAGATCCTCATCTGTCTTATCTCAGGTGGCTTCAGTCATTTTTCAGTGTCTTATTTTAGAATTCCCATGTCCTTTTCTCTTCCCTCTTATCCTGCCCTTTCATACCTCCTGTCATCCTACTGAGCCTCGGGGCCAGCTTTGCCTTCCAGTGGCTGGTGCCAGGCTGGGGACAGGTGGGTCCTTGGAGCCCCCCTGGCTGGTGCACAGCTGTGCGTGGTGCCCCGGCGGGGATCTCTGCTGTGCGGGGCTGTCCTTCCGCTGCGGCGCAGAGATGTGATGAGCTCAGCTAAACCCGGGCTCCCTGCAGCTTTATTTGGATGGTGCTCACGTCGCTGAGCAGGGAAGCACCTGCAGCAGGGTGTGAAAGCAGCATTAATAATGATGGCAACCCTGAGCAAATCTGCTCTAGTGGTGAGATAGGGCTTGGCAGTGAGACAGCAAAACAAGGGTGTCCATGAGCGGTACCTTGTTCTCCTAAAGACATTTTGGAGAGGGCTTGGCACGGGGTGGCCAATGGGCAGCTCCAGCACTAGCTGAGAAGAGAGCAGCTTGCACACATTCCCTCTTCCCTGCTTGCTGCTGCCTCCCCCTCCTCCCATGATGTGATGGATGTGCCTTACCCCGATGGCTGGAAGGGCAGGTGTTCTCAGGGCAGGCGTGTGCCATACACCCAGCTCCTCAGCAGGTGAGCTGAGCTATGCCTCTGTGAGCATTTTTATCTTCTTTTATTGCATGGACCTTCAGGTAGGTGTGGGAGTGTCTGGCTGTGCCTTGAGTGCTCTCATTGCAATCCAGTCATCACTGGGTGTGTGGGGACTCCTGCCTGCAGAAATTTGCCTGCCTGCAGATTATCCCATCATCTCACCTGCCCCAGTTTATCCTTGCAGTGGTGGGCAGCTAGGTGCAGTTTGTGGTATGTAAAATCACATGATAGCAGCCCAGGAACTCCTTCCCCTCTTCCCACTTTATCTCTGCACTGTGCGGGCCCCAGCATACATTACAAAAGGAAGAAAGAACATCATCCTGAACATCCACTAAGCAAAAGAAGATATTTTCTCTCTCCTTCAGCCCTTAGGGGTGATCTGTGGGTTTTTGAGGTGAGGTGTAGTGCCTGTATAGGCATTACTGTGGTGTCCCTAGGCTGAGCCTTGAAGAGCTGTTGATCCAGCCCCAGCACAAGGACTGTGCTGGCAGCACCCCTGCCTGCAGAACCACTCCCAAATCCCTGTGTTCTTGTCCCTGTGACACCAGCCAGGCTGAGGACGAGTATCTGAGTGCAAAACTTGGCTGGGGAGGAAGTGATGGAAGAAGTCGTGGTGATTTCTGGGATTCAGATAAGTAACAGCAAGCTGAAGGTGGGCAATGGGGAGGAGTGACCCTCTTTTGGGTAGGATGCTCAAAAGCACTCATAGTTGGTGAAGTGCACCACTGGGCACCTCTACTGACACACTTGTAGCCATGGAGCAGAGTCCCAGCCTGGCTGGACACTCCATTTAGTGGTCAAAACCAGCAGTAGAAATGCTGTGGAGCTGGAATTTCCTGCTTGTGTGACCACTAAATTCAGCTTTGCTTCCCATGGTGGTGTGGACAGCAGCATCCTCAGTGCTAAGCCCGTTCCTCTGATGTCCATTTTTTGTCACTCCCCTGCAGGTGGAGGCGGAGGACCACCAGGACGTGGTGGTCTATGACCAGAGCACACGGGATGTGACCGGCTTGGCTGCTGACAGCTTCCTCTCCATCCTCCTGGGCAAGCTGGACAGCTGTTTCCACAGTGTCTCCATCCTCACAGGTAGGAGCCCTGGCTTACCACTTCCTCTCATGCTCCAGGCTAAGGGGCACTCATGCCCTTAGCCTGGAGTGACAGAGCTGTGGCTGTCCGTGTCCATGTGCACCCACTTCCCTGGCCACCAGTGGCTGTGGGGAAGGAAGGCAGCCCTGCATGCAGGCTGAGGAGGCTCAGCCCACGCTGGCACCACTGGGTCCTCCCTGTGCCTTCGTTCCTTGCACTGTCCATCTCCCTGCTGCTGCACCCACCAGCCAGGGTGAGTGAAAGAGGAGGGCACAGAGGGGCTGTGGTGGCATGGATCCAGCCATCCAAAAGCTGCCCTTTGTTCTCCCATCCCTCTGTTGCTTCATCCCTGATGAATGTGCCATGGACCAGACCTGGTTCAGGCACTCTGCTCCCTCTTGCTGCTGTTAAAGGGAGGGCAGGAGAAGAAATCCGTGGATGTGCTGGAAAGGAGAAGGATGGCAGGGGCAGAGGGTCATCACTGAGTGAGTCAGGGTCTGCTGGAGATGATGCTCTCCGGGCACAAATGTGCAGGCAGGAGGAGACACGTGCTGCCCTAATTACAGCCCTTCTGCAATGAGGCAAGTGACTGATGAATGAAAAGCTCCAGCCCAGTAGAGAGGAGAAGAGAGAGGCAGGGAACTGCCTGAGGGAGAGCTGAACATGCCTTTGATTCCCCTTGGCTGGGACATCTGCCCGGATGGCTGCCTACCTCTGAGCCTTCTGCCCATGGATGGGTGGGCAGGCACTGCCCCATGCAGCCCCTCCATCCCCCTGAGCCCAGCCACGCTCCTGAACAGTGCCAAAAGCACAGAGATGGGAATCACCTCTGTCCCTCAAGCCTGCCCTCATCCTGTGGCAATTGGATGCTGCTTTGGGGCTGAGGCAGAGGATACCAACCTCTGTGCCTTGGGACACGGCAGGGATGGAGGGAACAGACCTTGGGAAAGGGTAATTGTGGGGGGGAAGGTAGCATGGGCAAGTGGCATTCAAGGAGCCCTGCCCATGCAAGGCAGGGGTGAGTGCTGTTGAATTAGAGCAGCTGCATTGTGATGGGGAGAAGAGAGCAGAGAAACAGTGAGATTAAACCCCCCAGACCCGGGTTCTAGCAGCCAAAACAAGCAGGGACTACATGAAATCATGTTAAAGCTAATTATTGTGGCCTGGGTTGCAGGAGCTCTGCTGAGGCCAGTGCTGGAGGATGCCTCCCTGAGCTGGCTGTGGCAGCCCCTGGCCTGCCTCAGTAGCTGTGCCTGCGGTTCCAAGGTCACCGTGGCATAAACTAGGGCACAGCTTGGCGTGTGGTGCAGGAGAAGGAAGAGGTGGATTCGCTTGCATCTGGGAAGGAACCTGCTTAGTCACGGGGATGGGTCAGGAAATAGCCTGGGTGGTGTGACCCTGGCACCCCCGAGCCCCGTGCTGCTTTCCCAGGGCTGGCTGAGGAGCAGTGCTGTACACTGGCTGCGGACCCCTGCCCCTCACACCGAGTCCTCCTGCAGCCTCCAGGGCTGTGTGAGGCAGCCCTGAAAACCCCGGAGCCTTTTCCTGCCTTAAGGCAGGTGGAAGCCTGGGGGAGCCTCGTAGTCCCAGTGTCCCCCAGCTGCATGCACAGCATGCCCCAGCAGCATGCCACCCCCTCAGCCATCAGCACACCACCACCAAAGCCCTGCCACCAAACCTGCTGTCCCCTACTTGGGCACACACCTCCTCCATCCATCAGGATGACCATCTCCATCCTGCTGGGCTGCAGGAGCCCAGAGCCCTAGCAAGAGTGCGGGTGTGCTAAGCACCAGGCAAAGCTCAAGCCTCCCAAATTAAAAGCACAGCAGAGCCTCAGCCTGATGTGGAACACGGGCCACCAGCAGGTGGAAAAAAACTGGAGCTGAAATGTAGAACACTGGGTCATGGCGGCGGTGTTTCACATGGAAATCATGACTGGAATGGCTGTGCAGAGCATCCAGGGGAGGCTGGGCACGTTTGCTGACAGCCACAGCTCCCTCCTGCCTGCAGCGTGGGCAGCAATGGGCTGGTGTAGAGACAGCTCTGGAGTGCTTGGGGGGTCTGGGGCAGGATGTGTGAGTGGGCCTGGTTCTAAACCCTTGCCCTTGTGGGGTTTAACCCCTCAGTCTGTCCACTCCGGCCTCAAGCACCTTGTCCTGCCCCAACCCATTTGGTGTCTCAGAAGAGGTGCCTGAGCTCTCCTTGGAGAAGGCCTTGTGATCCCAGTGGGTTGGCAAGGACTGCTGAAATCTCGGCCCGTGCCTCAGTGGATGCCATTATCCCAGGGAAGCTGTCCTGAGGGTCCCCAGTTCAGTGTGGCAGCCCTGCACAGCCCTCTGTGCTGCCCAGCTCTCTCAGCCCCAGCAGATGTCATGGTCTGTGCCTCCGTGTCCCCATCTCATGCAAACACCAGGCTTGGCTGTCCTTGCTCACCTCCAGGCCAGTGACCTCCTGACCCTTGAAGCAGCAGATGGAGGCTGATGGGTGAGGACAGGGGAGCTGAGAGTGGCAGGACTGGTGCCAGAGACTCCTCAAGGGTTAACAGCCCAGCAGCAGCGATTCCAGTGGCTGGCAGGGAAGAATCTGAGTCAATTATTCCCAGTCTTGGAAATCATCAGCTTCTCTTCTTCTTCTTTTTTTTTTTTTTTTTTTTTTTTTTTTTTTAATTGTGTAAGTATAAATAGTGCTGCTTGCTGCCCTCCATCCGTGGGAGCAGAAAGACTGTTGATTTATATGGTTTTCCTGACATCACATGAAGTGGTGGAAAACTGAATGGAGCCAACATTTTTCCTGCATTACGTAATGCCCCCTCCCTCCCAGCCCAGCTCTGCTATTCCTGCAGGAGCCTGACTGTTCTTTAACCTTTGTTTACTTCAGCACAAACCCTTGCTTTTTTGCTTTTTTTTTTCCTGCCTTTTTTGCCCCCCCTTTTTTTTTTTAACTTTGCTATATTTTTCCTCCCTTATTCTTCCCCTTTGCAATCACCCGCTTGGTCTTTATTAAGAGGCATTATCTGCTTATGAAGCAGCAGCAGTCTGGCTCCATTGCTCCCTGACAGCTCCCATGTGCCAGCTCTGGCATTGGAGCCTGTCCAGAGCCCTGTGCGGTGCTGAGCTGGTGGGTGCTGAGCTTCACCAGCTCCTCTCCATTTGTCCAGCTGCATGTGGAGATTTTCTTTTACTCCTCTTCAGTGGCTAAAAGCGACAGCTGGGGGCTTGGGAGGTTTGTCCACATGATGCTCAGTCACCCATCCTGTCCCTGCCTGGTCCTGAGGCTGAGCACCAGCTCCTCTTTCCCGTGCTGGAAGCCTTGTGCCAGCTGGAGATAAAACCAGTGTAGCCAGCAGTGGTGGGGCTTGGGACCCCCCCTTGCAGGACAGAGGCTCTTCTGGCTGCAGTTCCATCTTCTGGGGGAGCCTCACCGCTGCCATATCGTGCTCCGACCTGAAACAGGCCCCTCAATCGCGTTCTGAACTCGAGTCATGAGCTTTTCATCTGGCTCGGGAGTGCCTGTGAGATCATCCTCAGCGCCCCCCTCCCCCCGCTTTTGTACCAATTCTTCAAGGAATGTTTAAATTTTCCAGTCCTGTTCTTTCTAAATTTGGAGCGTCTGTTTACTCCCAGGATTCGGAAAGAATGTAACAATATCATCAGCGACAAATCCCTCCCAGCCCTTCACTCGCCATCCTCCTCAGTGAGCAGGCTGGCCAGGACCCAGCTCCTTGCAGCCCGGCAGTGCCACGGCCATCCAGCACGGCTCCAGAGAGCTGGAATTGCATGGCTGCAGTGGTCTAGGTGGGGGCTGAGATTCCGGGGATTTTGGGGGAATCTACCAAAGACAGGTGACTTTGCCATAGGCGAAAAGAAGCAGCGAAAAAATGAAAGGGGATTTCCATTGCAGGAGCTGACTTGGGCTGCCCAGGCATGAGTGGGTTTAGCACTGAGGCACTGGCTGGAATTATTTTAGACGCAAGGACTCAGAGATAGATGATTTTAATTAAAAGAATAAAAGGAAAAAAGAATGAAATAAGGAAAGGAAAAACATTTTTTTTTAATCGTTGGCTGAAAAGTCCATAATGCTTTCCTGTGTCATGTTGGTGAGAAGCCACATGCCAGCCACACATCTCCTTTGCTGCCTGCTCCTCTTGGATCATATTGGGCTGGAGCTGCTCTGGAGGAAAAGAGAAGATGAATGAAAAAAGCCAAGCTAGGCAGGTGTGAAAGCAGAGCAGAGGCAGGGCAGAGCAGAGGGGGCTTGCCTTCAGTCCAAGTCTCAGAGGCTGGAGTGACAGCATGTGCATCCAAAGCTTGTCATGGCATATGCAGAAGATCAAAGCTTATCTAGATCTAGATCTAGATCTAGAACCAGGATTGAGGTGTCTTTACAAACTCAATGTAAGAAAAAGAAGGAGCTAAAACCTTAGAAAGAAAATACCCCAAATACCCACACTTTGGTCACAGAATCACAGAATATTCTGAGCTGGAAGGGATCCACAAGGATCATCAAGTCCAGCTCTTAAGTGAATGACCCATACAGAAATCAAACCCTCAAACCCACAGCCGTGGGTGGCATTAGTACAATGCTCTAACCATGTGGGTGAATCTCAGGGTTCAGCAGTCACAAGCTGTCTGATGGGAGTGGGGAGGCAGGACCTGAGTGTGGCTGGCCATTTGATGGTCACGTTCCTCATCCCCCCTTCTGCACAGCACCACGATTTCACCTGTTGAGTTCGGGCTGTGAGTGTGTCTGCTGGAGACATAGCCTGTGCAGAATACACTAGCTGGTGGGTTTTGTCCCCTGACTCCAGCAGAGCCTCTGCTCAGTACGTGGGCCTGAAAGTGCCCTTGTTGGTCAAGCATTGGGGCTATTTCAAGTACCCTCAGGCTGTAATGTCTAAGAGCTCTTGGGGACTTACTGGCACGAATCCATCAGATGTACCTACAAGATTTTCCTTCAAGTCTAATTACTGTCCCTGAACCTCCTGCAAGCACCTCTGTCCA